GTTCGGACAAATAAAACTAGTTAGGCAGCAAAAAATTACAAAATGGATAAAGAAAGAATATTATTTATTATAGATAAATTATTAGAAACAAGTAGTAGTAGTAGTGATGATGAAAATATGTTGTTTAATAAAAGAAGAAAGGCCGAAAATTAATTAAAAATAAGAATATTAAATTATTATTATTATTTTATTTATTATTAATAATTATTATTAATTAAAAATTAAATTATTAATTAGTGTAGTTTTGCACTCGCACCGTGTCAGGGCAGCACCGTGTCAGGGCAGCACCGTGTCAGGGCAGCACCGTGTCAGGGCAGCATCGTGTCAGAGCAGCACCGTGTCAGGACAGTACCACAGTATATGTGACAATACCGTGTCAGGGAAGCACCGTGTCAGGGCAGCGCTAGAACCGTGTCAGTGCATATGTATCGAATGTGCCATATGAAGTTTGTAGAGCTACAATCAGCTACAACTTACAGCGCCACTAGAATGAGATAGCATGATTTTTTCTCTCTCGCAATTTCGACGAATAATGGCGAACTTCACGTGTCCAGACTCTTATTAGAGGGTCACTACTATATCGTATACGCGAGATTCGTTTCTCGGAATATGCGCATTGAGAACGATAGAAATATTCAGTAAACATTCTACGGGACAACAATGGTTGCGTTCAGCAGAAAAAGCAGCTTTGCAACTGTTGTAAAATTCTTGAATATGATTGGTTCATACATTTAGGTTCAATAAGGAACTAAGAGCAAGACCAATCATATTAATGAATTTTGCAACAGCTGCAAAGCTGCTTTTTCTGCTGAACGCAACCAATAACACGATAGAAGCGGTAAGGTAACGATAGAAAATCTTTATCGTATTCAATCGAATTCTATCGATTTTTTTAAGCAGGGATTCTATTGGTGGTGTGGTGATGGGTGGTGATGAGTGCGTTCAGATTCCTAAAACACTCGGGTGCTTTTCGCTAGGTTCCGCCCACTCATGGTGTAAGTAGAAAGGTGAACCATTGCGCATAATGGCAGAGATTTGAGATCTTGACCAATCAGGGTTTGAGCTTTTTTGCAGCGCGCGTGTAAAGCGTTTTCGAAGCGCTGTTCAGATTTTTATTCTGCGCCATATTGAAGATTTCGCATAGAAGCTCAAAGTGTGATTGGTTGCGATTGCCCTCACTACTTCTAATTTACTGCGCATCCATCGGAATGGTTCACCTTTCTACTTACACAATGCGCCCACTCAGTACTCACCCAGTCACCCACCCGGTGAGGAATCTGAACGCAGCCCAAGTGGTTGATGGTACTTTAGCCGTTGCCAACTTTCACGCAATAGATTTTCATAAACCTTATCAAGTAGCTTTGTTGAAAATTTTTTTCTTGTTGGAAGTTCATATGTTGCAAGCAAAAGTTTTAATAAATTTTTAAA